AATAGTTAGATTGTGACTTTTTAGGGATAACTTGTTAGATGGTGGACAATATACAGAGTTTACATTTAATCCATTATTCAAGTCATAAAATTAAAACCATATCTTTAAATAATTCATTGTAATGGAGCATAGGTAAGGAATACAAGCAGGTTGAGTGCCAAGTTGTTAATATCTGTTCTATTTAAGAACATATTTGCTGATAACAAGCTGTTTGATCTAGAATATAAAAAAAAAATCTCAGGCAAAATTGATGGGCATTGTGAAATCATCAAATGTCCTAAAAATGTTCCTTTTCCTTACCATGTGAAATTAGCATAGATATAATTTAAAATAATTATCTGAAACACAATCACATTAAGATTCCCAGATGCTGCATAATTAATTTAAAATCATTGCCTACTGAGAGTGAGATACATTAATGGCATGTGTCATCTTGCACTAATATTATCATTCTTTACCTGTAAGAGTCCTTGCCCTATTTGGTGTTTTATTGATAGATTTGATGCTGATGATTAGGGAGTTGTGTAGCTAAGTACACAACCACAGCATTCCAAATTGGGGAAAGCTGATTTAGGACATGGAGTCCTAATTTATCACTGAGGTAATGATAATGAAATTCTCTTGAATTAAAAGTGGAAGACCTGTAAAATAAAGAACCATGGTGATTTGTGGATTCAGCCTGAGAAAAGTGTAAAAGGGTATGGGCTCTTCAAGAAATGGTGACTCAAAACCTTTAGGCTGCTCTCTGTAGATGAAAATTGAATTGACCTGAGCTAGAAAATCTGCTTAACATTTTAAAGTGCCTAAACTGCTTGAAAAAGGAATTTTCATAAGATTAGCTGTAGAGTCTCAAGTGTGAACTGAAGCCTTCTGAAAAGATTCAGAACTTTTCTGCCCTTGTGGAATCTGCTTGCAACAACTCAGGTAGCTCTTGGCTAGATCCAAATTAGCTGTGTCCCAATGTTATTTTTTTCCTGTGAGAGATAGCCCTTTCCACAGAAGGATATTGTTTTTCTGAATCTCTTTTGTCTCTTCCCAATTCTAGTTTAGGCTGTCCATTTCCCTTCAGGGCTTAAAGCTTTGTTGGCAAGTCACTAGATAGTGACAAAGGAGACTGACTTGCCACATTGCCACAGTTTCTCCAGGGATGGATGGCAGAAGACAAGTCTCTGGAATATTGTTGCTGGGGCTTGCACTGCAGTTGCTAAGGAACCTCCTTTTGAGGCACCACTGGGATGGCAGTGGAAAGGCCAGATTGCTGCTGTGAGATGAAACAACAGCCCTTGGCTTTTGTGGAAGTGCTATAGCGGGCTCCTGGAAGCAGTTTTGCTGTAACCCTTCAGGTGGACTGGTTTCATCTTGCAGTCCTACTGTTGGGATGACATCTCTTTTTCTGATAGCCACCTCTTTTAAACCCTCTGGATTTCCCTTCATTTCTGAAGATTTTGGGAGATTTTTGAGATCTGGATGTGAATGATCAAGGGAAAAAAAGGCAGCTATTTGAAATATGTCTATTATAGTGCAACAAGATTTAGAAGCACCAACACTGATTTCTACAACTACTAGGAAGTTATGTAATTTTTATTGGCTGAGGTGCATTTGTTTCTGAACTGTAGATCTAAATGTTTGGTTTTTTTTAAAAAAAAAGTGAACATAAAAGAAAAGCATTTTAGAGAATGAACACAATCAAAATATCAGTGAGTTTTCCAAATCCACTATTTAATTTATAATAAGAATTTTAAATTTTATTTTTTTTAAAGACTGCCATTTCTTAACTTTACAGCTTGAAATAGCATATCAGATTTCTCCTAATTATTGTACATTTTATGTATTAAGTGCTGTTTTTTAAAAGAATGTGCTGTCTGCCAATTTGGTGTAAAATTAAATATACCTCTGTAATAAACAATATAGAGAACCAGTTTGGTGTAGTGGTTAAGGCACTACACTAGAAATTGGGAAATTTCTAGTCCTGCCTTAGGCACAAAGCCAGCTTGGAGACTTTGGGCCAGTCAGCCCCTCATTCCTAGGAAGTAGGCAAGGGCAAACCATTTCCAAACTCTTGCCAAGAAAACTGCTGGGACTAGTCCAGGCAGTTGTCAAAAGTCAACATTGACTCAAAAGCATTAATAAAATAAACAATATGGCTTATCCATAGCTTCCAAATCTTCTGAAAAGCTATGGCTTCTTTGAAACATTGATCTGGATTTTATAGGTAGCTTTGCTATTGCTATTGATGTAATTGCTATGTACACTTATTCTATATATTGAGTGTACAGTACACTTAGTAAATATGTTGTCAGTTACGTTGACCAACACTAAATGATATCAATTAAAAGTATGATCATAGAACTTGCCACAATGCACAACTAGACATGATTTATTTCCCTAGAAATTTAAAACCACAAGCCTCTTTGTACTGTACTAGAAAAACATCACATGGCAATTATCAAATACTGCAAAATTCATTTCAGACACCAAACAACATTGGATGTTAAATAAACTAGTATAAAGTATCTGAAGAAAATTTGAGAAGTCCTTGAAGAATAAAATACTGTGTATTTTTCCCTGAACATTCATAAAGAGTAAATAGGAATGATTTTTTTCCATGCACAATGTCCACAGAGCAAACAACCTATGTTCCTTTCCAGTTTGTTTTTTAAGCTGAGCTGCATTTTTATTTCAGAATATAGGATTCTATCTTATGCGTGCATATAAATCTGATTATACAAAATATACTTAGTTCTTGAGTTATATGAAAAGTTATGCAATTCTTTGCTATTAAACAGATAATCAGCTGCTTAAAATATTTTCCCTGTGGACTTCCTCATACCATCTCCCCGTTCACCAACACTTTTTTTTTCTTAAGAAAAAAAGCAGGTTTGACCACATTATGGATTGAACAGATCAGGAGGAGATAGTGAAGCTACCCTGTTTCTTGCAGAAGATATAAATGAAAAGGCTCTTACTGTTTGTGAAACACATTTTAGAGAAGCAGCTGAGACTGGCATTTCTTTTGGTAGCCAGGTCATACTTTCATTTCACACATTGGCATCCTGTTACTAAAAGTGGCTGCTGATGTATCCACTTTATGGCCTTTAACAAAGTTGATAGCAGAGGGAACAGCTGGGATAACTTATGGTGCTTTCACTGCCCACCCCCACCCAGCCACGCCTAATGATGCTTATTTCCTGTAAGTGAAATAAAAACCTGAAAGAAAATGGAAGTTATTTTAAGAAGCAAATAATATGTAGCTTTTCTCTTGCTTCGTATTTGCAGTGAATAGGGTTACAAGGGGAACATAATTATAAAATGAGACTCGGAAATAGACTGTCCAGTGCTATCTGTTTGGAATCTGTAGAACTTCCATTCATGGACACTTTCCTAGTTGCAGTTTTGATTTTTTAATCAACTTTTTATATATGCTAGCCCAATGAGCCCTGGGTTCTCCCCATGAAAATAATTGCTGTGATGGCTGTTGGTTCAGTAATACTAGCTATATCATTCGGGTTGGAAACAACAACCTGTCGGAGTGATGATGAAGCTGGAAGTCAGGAGAGTATAGATTATATGGCATGTCTACACTTTCTAAGTTAGCCTGCCACCCTAGGATGTGGAAGATATCCCCTATCACCGTTGGAATAAACCTAGTGAAGGGAGAAAGTATCTTAATCTTTGTACTAGGGTTTAGGCAGCAAAACGTCTTAGAATAGTTCTGCCTGGATACTTTTACAATATACACAGAAGCTTTAGTTGAGTTCTACTAAATGTCATCAAAAGGTCTTAAATTGTGTCAGAGTATCCAGGTTCAATTATTGAATTGCTTTCGAAAGGACACGGATCTCAGTGTTCGGAGTTGAGGAAGAGGTAGTACTGGTATCTGTTTTCTGAGTTGGTCTAAATTGGCAACATCAGTTAATTATCCTTGATTTGAAACTGAGTTCTACTATACAGATAATCCTTGACTTACAACCACAACTGGGATCAGAACTGTTGCTAAGCGATGCAGTTAAGTAGTGCCCAATGTTATGATCTTTTTTACCATAGCAATTAAATCACATGGTCATTAAGTGAATCCAGCTTTCTCTATTGATTTTGTCCGAAGCTCCCTGAGAAGATTGAAATGGCTGCATCTGTCATAAATACATGCCAGTTGCTAAGTGCCCAAATTTTGATCACATATCTCAAAGACACTGCACTAGTCATAAGTGAAAGGACTGGTTGTATGTCACTTTTTTCAGTGACATACAGTGTAACGTTTAATAGTTTAACGTTAAATGGTTATAAATCAAAGGCTAACTGTAAACTTCTACCATATTATACATTGTCCTTGTTTAGTTCTTGAACATTCATTTGTCTTGAATAGTATAGGGTCTCCTGCTTGAGCAGGGGGTCAAGAACTAGAAGATCTTTAAGGTCCCTTCCAACTCCCGTTATTCTGACAGTGATGAAAACAACATTATGACAAAATCTTGCACTTATGTTCATTGCAAATTTGTAAAGCAAAGAAAAACTGAAGTGAGATCATAAGTACAGTTGTGGTTTCACTTCACAAGCCGCGGAGATCCCAATTGTTAAAGGAGGACCGCCTGTAATCTTTCAGGCTCAACCTATCGTGTATGTAATCATATTGACCTGTCTAATTTCAGTAGAGTTGCTGTAAGGGCTGCAAGCGCTTCGGATCCCCTCCATAAGGTGATGGGATCGAGAGGGACCTCCTCCTTTTGCTTGACTAGCCAGAGGGCAGGCAAAATCTTTCCTACAGGGAAGCGGTTTTAAGAGCCCCCGCCAGGAAAAAGAAATACAGAAAGTAGCAATTGCTGGGAAAGAGGAAGAGGAAAGGGCAAGTGCGATTGTGTGGCGCCGTTGGCTTCCACCTCCCTCCGAAAACTTGAATGGAAACTCGGCGATGGGGCGAGAAAAGAGACGGTGGCAGAGCCGCGGCGTCACCTACGCAGCGCGGTTCAGGTAGGGGCAGCGAGGCACCTGCGGGGCGGAGTCTGCCCAGGCCGGACCGGCAGTTTCGCCTGCGTGTCGTCTCAACGGCCTCGAAGCGACAGCCGCGAGTCCCGCTTCTGAGCTGGCTTGGTTCGCGCCCTCCAGCATGGCTCTGGAAAGCGACAAGAGGAGGACGAGGTAAGGCGGCGGGCGAAGCGGCTGGGTGCTGAAAGCCCTCGTCTCCATCTCGTCTTCCGCCCCCCGCTTCCTTTTCTTCCTCGTGGCGAGGGGAGCGCTTTGCTTCGCCCGCTTCAGGTATCCGCAATGCAGAGTCACTCCCGGGCGGGCGACGAGAGCCACGAAGCCGAAGAAAGCGCTCTCTCACACCGGAGACACGAACGTGGCTCCAAGCGGGCGAGGACGAAGGGGGTGAAGCGCGGGTTTCCGGGCCCCTCCCGTTGAGCCAGGCCCGTCTTGCGAAGATGGCTCCGGCTCGAGGAGGCGTCGGGCAGCCCGAGGCGATGGAGCATCCCTGCTCCTCTCCCTGGAGGGGGAGAGCCCCACTTCCCAAGCTGCGACCAGCCCCGGAGACAGAGGAGCCCCCAAGCGCCGCTCCTCTTCCCCACCAGTGCCGGGTCTTGGGAAAAGAAACGCAGCCTCGGTCCCCGCGAGAGAAACCAAAGTCTGGCATCCATACCGAGGGGATGATTTATTAAGCCGATAGAAAGTTTGCAAAATGGGCGCTCCCCCTTTGGGCGGATTACTAGCAGCTGGCAGTGGACTAGGCGTAGGACCCCTGCCCTCCGGGGATAATAGGTTTGGGGAGGGATAGGATGGGCGCGGAAGATGGCTGGGAGAGATGTAGGGGGTCCTTGGGAGGGGACGGCGGAAGAAGACCAGCGCTGTCCCGGAGCCGCCAGGGAAACCCACTTGCTGATCTCGTCCCCATCCAACTTTTCAGGATCTTTCGTCTCCGTTCCGTTCCCTTCCCTTCCCTCTCTATCCCGTTCCAGACTGGATGGTGGGAATTGCGATAGGGATTTAACAAATCCAGACAACTGACATTTGAGCAGTTAAATACTGAGCTTATTTCTAACCTTTCCCAAACCCAAGTGAAATCTGCTTCAGTTATGCTCCTGAGGAGTTTGCAAATGATTACTTACCTATAAACTTTCCATTCTGAAAAATCTAATCATATAATGGAAGGCAACCATCTTGTCATATCTGCATCCCTAAAAGAAATTCAATTTAAAACAACAAATACTTGAAATTGAAAAATCTGTCTGCTGAAATCTAAAATTGAAAGTTGAATTTTAAAGCACTGTATTTCATTATTTCCTTCCATTTATCCCCACAATAACAATTTGAGAGGCAATTGAGCTAAAGAAGAGTAATTGGCCCCAAATCTATCAATAGCTGTGAACCTAAGTCTTTTTAGTCCTAGCCCAGCCCCTTTATCCACTCTGACACATTGGCATCAGCATAGTAGAAAGTGTTAGAAGCAGACCCACTTTCTCTACCTATGATACACAGGTATTGTCACCCTTCTGAACTAGAACAGCCGCTCTTACATGGAGTACACCAGAGACCAATTTAAATCAGCATTCTAGTTCTAATAATGGTCACCCGGATGTCCCAGCAACTTCCCAAGTTGATTGTGCCAGTGCAGGACTGTAAGTAGAACTCTCAGGGCAAAACTCTCAGGTGGGTCCCCATCCCAATTTTAATTGATTTTTAATAGAATTAAAAATTAACCTGCAGGAAAAAAAATCAAGAAATAAGGTGCCACCCAAGTTTGGAGTGAGCTCCCTCTTCCGGAGCTGTGGTAATGAAAAAGATATAGTGCTTACCCTCTGAATAAGGAAGTGATTAGCATTAGTTTAAGTTCACTGAATCAATGGTGATTAGGTGGATTTATGATACTACTGCTATAATAATAATTGTTATTAAATTCATCTGGATAAATAATTGATCACAGAGATGCAGCATGGGGCATGGCTTGTTTCAGGACATGGCAACTCTATTATTCTATTGCAGCTAGCATTCCACTGTTACTAACTTTAAACTTCCCCAAATTAAAGCAAAACAAATAAATTGAAAAAGTTAGAGAATTTTCTTATAGGATATATCAGTTAACCTTTGCATAGAAAATCTGGTGTCTCTAATTCTTCAGGACTACAATTTCTACAATATTTGTTGGAGGAATCAAGGAAATTAAAATCCTACTTTTTAAAATTATTATCTTAAAATTACTATCCTTTGTAAAGCGAGTTGCTACTACTGCTACTTAGTTAGATTTATGTACCAAATTTCCTCCAGGAGCTCAAATCAGTGTGCACTCTTTTTTCTTCTCCACTTTTATCTCACAACCACTTGCCTTGGATCTTATTGATTCTATAGTTATTTAAAAGTGATTAATAACTCCTCTGTGAAGTAGGTTAGAGTGAGAGGCAGAGTGACTGAACAAAAGTTCACCCTATCAACTTTTATTGGTGAGAATGGATTTGAATCAGGGTCTCCCAGGCTCATCCTTTACTCCGAAGAGATATAGCATGGTCTTCTGTTTTTAACAGACAACTTTCATAGTTTTCAAACTGAATTTGTCGTGCATCATGTACTTGGTTAATTAAGTTATAGATTATTCATCTAAGAACTTTCTTCTCGTCCCCTAACACCCACATAAAATATATATCTAATGAAGGTGCAAATGCATTCAAACCTGTTGATGAAAGGGAGACAAAATTTTCTATAGTACTGGGTGCTTGCACAGAAGATTATGCCCTCTATGAGAGCTGAAGCATGGCCTGGCTTTGTACATGCTGCATTTGCTAGTTACTGGGATGGTGACCACTTTCTAGTGGGAGTACTACTATATCTGGGCTGCAGAAATCATATAACTACTACCAGCATATGGCAGGTTTGCTTCCATATAAAGATCATCTCGATTTTTGTAGCCCAGACTGCCTGCCTGCCTGCCTCATGACTCAGTGCCAGTGGTAGTCCTGTTTTGTTCCTGCTGTTTGCTCCCATTGTTTACTGATAAACCACCTCACTGACTGAGTTGGTACACTCTCAATTTAGACTTGGTATTGTTTACAAAAACACAAAGTTGTCTATATTTTTCTGCGTCTCTCACAAGTAGGTGCACTTCTCCATGAAGCACCTATGATAGATAACTACCTCTTAATTTAGTGTCATGCATTTTTCTTGAATAAGTCAAATTGATATTGATACAGAACTCTGCTGCAGTTACTACATTGCAAAGTAAGTTCCTAGAGTCAAGGATGTGAGATTGTCATTAATTGGTTATTTATCACCTAATAATATCACCTAATATTACTACCTAACATTATAATCATGAGAAACTGCAAAGTGCATTAAATCAATATTGATTATTGTGGCTGGTAATGTGACTGACAGGATCTTTATTAAGCTCGCAGTTTTGTTACCTAAGAGCAAGGGTGTCAAACTGACAGCCCCTGGGTCAGATGCGTCATGGGCAGGCCACACCCACCCCGGCTCCACAAAGGCAAAAAACCTTGTGATATGACACAATACGTCATGTGAAGCGATTGAGTTTGACACCTGTGTCTAAGAGCAAGGCTATGTTAGAATGTAAGATTTGAGGAATTCTTACATTGTAGAATTCATTGGATTTCTTTAAAGGGAAGATACAAACATACAACCTCCCCCCTCCACGCTTGTGAAGCCATCTCTGGGCGCATGGGTCTCATCAACTCTGCTTCCCACTACTGCAACTTGCTCTGCCATTTAACTGGCAGAAACTTGTGTGGTCTAATTTACAGCTTACCCAAGTCTTCTCTTGTCCAGGCAAAACATGAATAGTGCCTCCAAACTTCCCTTGTAAGTTTATCTTCCAAGTCCCTTACTGGTCCCATGGACATAACAGGTAGTCCTCAACTTAAAACTGCAACTGAGCCCATTTTTGTTGTTGTTAAGTGAGAGATTTGTAAAGTGAGTTTTGCCATTTTGATGACCTTTCTTACCACAGATGTTAAGTGAATCCCTGCAGTTGTTAAGTTAATAACATGGGTGTTAAGTGAATCTGGCTTCCCCATTAACTTTGCTTGTCAGACGGTCACAAAATGGGATCACGTGATCCCCGGACCATCATAAATTTCTATCAATGCTACCTAGGATTGCATTTGCTATTTTTACAGATGTATCACATTATATTCAGTCAATGATCCATCAAGACACCCAGTTGCCAAGCATGTGAATTTTGATTATGTGACCATGGGGAGGCCACAATGGCCATAAGTGTGATAAATGGGTCATAAGTCACTTTTTTCAGTGCCATTGTGACTTTGAATAGTCACTAAATCAGTGGTTCTCAACCTTTTTAATGCCGTGACCCCCAACTGGTCGTAAGTCGAGGACTAAAGTGATCGTAAGTCGAGGACTAAACCGGTCGTAAGTTGAGGACTACCCAACCGGTCGTAAGTCGAGGACTTTCCCTGCCCGGGAGCGCCGCGCATGCGTCGTTCCGCCCCCTGCGCCGGCCAAGGCGTAGCTGGCAAGCGGTAGAGACGGAGCAGGCCGACCACCAGCTGGCCCAGCGCAAGGGAGGTAAGGCACCCGCCAGAAAAGGGGGAAAAAATGGCGTACAAAAAAAATGGCGGACAGCCTTGCTTGGCGACCCCCGTGAAATGGTCGATCGACCCCAAATGGGGTCGCGACCCATAGGTTGAGAACCGCTGCACTAAATGAACTGTTGAAAGTCGAGGACTACCTGTATTCTACTTTGTCAACATCCTTCTTAAAATTTTGTGCTTAGAAATAGATACAATATCATAAATATGGTCTGATAGAAAGGAACAATAACTTCATGATATTATATTTCTATCAATGCTACCTAGAATTGCATTTACTATTTTTACAGCTGTACCACATTATATTCAGCCAGTGATCCATCAAGACACCCAAGATTGTTTTCATATATACAACTGCCCAGGATCCTTTCTCCTATCCTACAATTATACCTTCAGGTTTTCCTACTCAAATTCAGAATACTGAATTTATTCTTGTTGAAATTCATTTTGATGTTATCTGCCAATTGTCAAGATTGCTATGAATCTTGATATTACCTCCTCCCCAAGACATTTGCTACCCCCATCTTTCCTTGTTCACAGATTTAATATTTTCTATTATACAAATTTTTATAAATATGTTGAACAGTATAGATATTAGACAGGATCTCTGAAAAATGCTTTCAACATGTCTCTTTTTAGCTTGATGCAGAGCCAGTCATTTTCATTGTTGGGTATAATTATTGTCTTGGTTCTGTACCAATCTAATGGTAACATTTTCCAGTCCATCGTTTGTCATCTCCCCTACTGGGGTCTCATAAAAGACTATTAAATATTTTGCTAAAATGAAGATACATTATGCTCACTGCACGCTAACAGTAAACTAAATTCTGTCCCCCCCCCCAAAAAAAAAATGTTGGTCTGGCATGACTTATTCTTAACAAACCTATGGCTCCTGCCAACAATACATTCTTCTCCAAATGCTCAGTGATCAGATACTTATTTGTTTCAGAGTTTTGTCTGGTAATCGACATTAAGCTGACTAATCTAGATCTTCTTTTTTACCCCTTTTAAGGATTTCCCATTCTTCAATCTTTTAGCACTAGGCCCATCCCCTATGCTTTCCCAAACACCATAAAAAGTTGCTCCAAGATGATAAACTTCACAACCTTCTTTAGGATTTTAGATAATTTGATTTGGGGGCCTATGGTCTCATTTATGTGTCCTTCTGGCCCCAGTGTGAAGACAACCATTCATCCCACCCCTGCAAAAGCAATTTCCTTTCATAGTTTCTTGCTATGCTGCAAAAGTTGGTGTTTTTTCAGTTCTACCATCATAAGTGTTGGTGTTGATGGTTTAATCTGCAGCTGGTTGTTCTAAGATTAATTTAGAGTTGGAGGCCTGTCCTCTTTCCTACTAACCATTTGAGGTATGTCCCATCTCTGATGTTTAGGGCCATTTGCTTTTTGGCAATGGGATAATCCTCCTCTATGGAAAAAGCCATCTCTCACACTGCTCTGTCTGACAACCTTTGGTAAGAGAAGGAGGGGAAGCAAATCTTTTTGAGTATAAGTTCTTCTGGCATTGAGATATCCCACAGTCGCCTATGGAAAGTCCACTGTACCATAGGAATACCATCTGCAAAGGCACTTCCCCGAGATATGGCTGGCCGTCATTCTTCTATAGCTTATGCTGCAGAGCCTAAACTGTGGAACGCTATACCAGGTATCCAATACTAAATTAATAGACAACTAGAAATATATAACCTTGATATTTGTCAGAAATGGATTGTTGCTGATGTGAATAACAGCCTGCAATGGTTGTTTCAAGGTGTGCCATCTGTGTGCTGCTGCTATGTATCCAGGTGACATATCTTGTAGTCTTGGACAGATATAGATGGAATTGCTTCTCTGGTGGCTCTTGGTTCCACATAACTCTTAAGCTGGCAATCATGGGCAGCTTTTCTGCAGAATTGTGGCTTCCACCCTGCTTGGGTAGTAGGACCAGTAGGGGAAGAGAAGGATGGTGATCAGGTCTTTGGGGGATGAATTTCCCTGGCACTCTCCCATGGAATGGCAATTGAAGAGATGTTTTCCTGATTTCTCTTCCCACAGGAGAACCACTGCTTTGCTGTGTTTCTTCAATGCTCAGACTCCTGCCAGTAATTGGCACAAAGGAGGCTCTGCTTCATTGCTGAGGTAGAATAAGGGCTAAAAATACAGTTAGCTGTTTCTGCAACTGGCATCATTTTTAGCCACAGGTCGGCAACCTGCGGTTCCGGAGCCGCATGCGGCTCTTTGAACCTTCCCCTGTGGATCCCAGCTTCCTCTGCCATTTGCAGAGAGAGACAGAGACAGAGCTTGTCTCTGTCTCTCTCTCTCTCTCTGTGTGTGTGTGTAAAAAAGAGAGTAGCCTCACCCTGTTCCCACGAGCTGAAAAGCTTATTGGGCAGGGGTCCTCCCTTTGCTGAGTCTGTGCAGGAAGCAGGAAGGGCAGGAGAGAGCTAGCTAGCCCAGCTATGCTGACTCAGGAATTCTGGGAGTTGAAGTCCATGAATCATAAAAGAGCTGAGGTTGTCTACTCCTGAGCTAGCCCAATAAGAATGTGTGTCGGCTTGTTGGAGAACAGCTTGAAGCCAGCTTGCCAGGTGAGCAGAAGATTGGAGAGAGGGAGAGAGGGGTGGGGAGAGAAAGAGAGAGAGGGAGGGAGAGACAGAGAAAGACAGAGAGAGAGACCCTTTTGACATCTAAAATGAAGATAACACTGCATATATCCTTTTTTACCTTTAATATATATATACACACACACACACATATATATGTAGGTATATATATAGGTATATATATATACCTATAATAAAGGTAAAAAAGGATATATGCAGTGTTATCTTCATTTTAGATATCAAAAGGGTTTTGCGGCTCCCAGTGTTTTGTTTTTGGTGGGAAACGGGTCCAAGTGGCTCTTTGAGTGTTTTGGGTTGCCTACCCCTGTTTTTAGCCAACCCTGAAAAGCAGCACTTTAATATTGCCATGCATACAGTAAGAGCATTTAAACTTATTCTTGGTAGGCAAATTTGCTATGTCTTTCCATATCTTAAGTTGCTACTTTCTCTTGCTGTCAGTTTGTTCTGTTTAGCTTTTTTTGAACATCATTTCTTTTTGGGAAGAAAAACAAAGCAAAGATGATACTGTGTAACCCTTTGTTTTTTGTTTTTACATTCAGCAGAGTAAAAAACACCTTTTTATACCTTTCAACTCAATAGAATGTTGGAAGAAATTACACAAGGGACTGGGGAGCTATGTCCCTCTGTCAGCAGAATAATTCTCCAAAACTGGAACAGAGCAGAACCAGTTTCCAGTTTCTCAGAGAGAAACTGGAAAAAGAAAGATCAGGTTCAGAAATAGGCTAGATCCAGTTGGGGCTGCTGGGAAAAACATTCCAGGAAAAAGTCCCCCAATGGATCTTTGTGGGAGAGGCTAAAGAATGCCGTGTCAGAGTCCTGGTGACTCCTCCATTCTAAGCCACTCTTCCTCAGAGTAACCTACTTTATGCTGCCCGGGGCACACATATACTGGACACAACATGAAGGGAAAGCAAATGCACACGTGCACATGCAAATTACTCATTATTTTTATTCCTAGTGTTTTCCTGCAAGTACCACTTTTTCCCAGATCAACTAACTCTTGATCCATTGGTTGTGATATGAAAGGACTGATTGACTTGTCACCGAAGCCTGATGTTGTGAGCTGAGAGAGAGTGACTGAGTTACCCAACTGGTTTTCATGCCTAAAGTGGAACTAGAAGTCATAATCTTCTAGTTTCTAGCCTGGTGCTTTAACCACTAGAACAAACTGGTTCTCATGCCCACATATCCATGCCTTGTTACTTTTTGCTTCCTTTGCCAGATTACATTCCGTTCACCCTAGTGACTTTCTACATATGTTAGCTCTTTGCTGGTGCACCTTTTTGCTAATTATAACTATCTTCTATTTCCTACTCATGACCCTTTATTATAATTTTTAGCTCAGTCAAAATGAATCTACTGTAGTTTCCTAAGTGCTCCCCCGTTTTTTAAATTGAAATGGTATGTGATTATATTTCTAGTATCTTCTTTTAAAGAAGAATTGTAAATTCCTGACATGGTTAGCTACATTTGGAGAAGACGCTTGTCTTGAATCTTGAAGAGCTATGATGGGTTAATGCAGAGGAAACTAAGCTAGATAAATGATCACGTAAACCAGGTCAACATCAATACAAAGCTCTGGGTCTCTACATTTACAGGAAAAGTTGCCTAAAATTTCCTGGGAATAGCAGCAGCCTATAAAACCTAGTTTACCAGATGGAGAATTTGTTGAAAGGCCAGTCCTGTTTGAGTAAGGTGGGGTAACTATACTGGCAAATGCTGTGTTTGCTTAGTGTTGTCAAATGTAAGAAATCTGTCTTTGGGAGGACACCTAAGCTAAACAAAAGTGACAAGTAGCCAACTACTTCCTTCAAGAACCCCAGAGGAAGGGCATTTCCTGATCCCTATAGGAGGGAGGGAAGCCCTCAGACCTGGGAAGTTTCACAGCGTATAGCTTTAGGAAAGAAGCATAGCACATTTACACTTCCTTTCATCAGTCAATGAGCAAGTAATTGCTTTCCTATCTATTTGGTAACCTGGGTACCTTCCACAGCTAATGTGAGGGTAATTAAATGAGGATATTATTTATTTCTATTGTGAATAAAATATTTAAGGGTAGGGAACTATTTCAGGGCTGGATGGGATTAGAATTGCTGACATCGCTAGAATTAAATGCTGCTGTTTGCTCTTAAAACTCATAGAGCTGCTCCTCCCATAGAGGTAAATCAATGCATCTTTTGATGGTTGCCCACTTAGACCATGTTTTTCAGTAATAGCCAAAATGTAGAAGTCCACAAAAGATCTTTTATCTGTGCCTTTGCCTTAATATTGTCTCATCCAAAACAAATGTTCAATTTAAGGAAAAGTTCCATTACAAATGGCTAAAAACTGATAATTAAATGGACAGTCACTACAAGAAAATATGTGCTACTCCAAATCTTAAAAGAACATCTGTGATAACTAGCCTTCTTTTCTTACCCACAGCACTTCCCTGGAGACTGCCTTAGCCGAGTGCACGGAGGCACTGAATTGTTTCCTGCATAACCAGTTCAGTAAGAGCTTGGAAATGCTGCAGCCCAGGTAAATCAGAGATGCCCAAGCTGATTCATCCTGCACACAGGACAAGTGCAGGATATCAGCTTCCTTTCTACCCACTGTTACCAGGGTTCCTACCTGTTCTGTTGAATTAAATCTTCCTCCAGCACTTTCCAACTAGGGGATCCCAATTACAATGCTCATGGCTATAGCGGCTATAGCGTTGAAGCAAATCTGTGGGATGCAATGAAAGAAGAGTTGCTTCTCAGACATTGAACTTGAATAAACTCAAATGGGAGGGGTGGGGAGGGAATTAGCTTGGTTTGCTAGAGTCCTTTTTGTTTTCAAGTCTGAAATAAGGCAAATTATGTTCCTCTAGCTTCCCCAGAAAAGTCAGTGTTAAGTGTTCCACAATACTCATATGCAAATAGCTATCTAGTTCCCCTGTGAGGGATTCAGCTCATAAGTATTTCATGTAGCTTGTGGCGAAGGCAGCAGGATATTTGCTGCGGTATTCTAAAAATATATTGCTGCTGGAAGTTGGTATTTTAGGAGGCTTATTACAGAGAGGCCAGGCTTGTGCTGTTAGATTGGGTGGCAAAATTTAGAATGAAATGTTATTGAATAAGAGCAACTCTTTGCTAAATGATCTTCAGCATCCCCATGGCATTGATGGAGAAAGTTATACATCCTGTATATATATATATATAACTTTTAACAATAAGTCTTAGTCAAACCCAAAGTATGTAAAGATTGTGCAGTGTTAAGTGATGCAGTTTAGGAACAGAGCGTTTATGACTCCTATTGTTTAAAACAAGGATAGGGAAAACAGTGGGGAAACTGTTTTACTGCAGCTATCATTCTATGAAGTGAAACATTTACGGAAAGAATACCTTCTTACTCTTATGTATTCTGAAAGATTGCTAAATTTATGTATCTCAGATGGTCTTTAGAAGGTAAAATTAATACAATGGTCATACCGGATAACTTTGTTATGTAGACTCACTTTTTAAAAATACATTTTGTTAAAATCAAGGATCATTTTTACTGTATTTTAATGAATGTACCTTATTTTTGTCTAAGTTTTGAGCTTATAAAAAGTAACATACATACAAATGCCTTAAGTAGAATGCACATTAAGAGTTTGATTTTTGCCTTCCATTCTAGTTTAAGTCTATGTTACAAAACTGATGCTGATGAAATCTGAAGCCACCCTTGTAAGCAATAACTCTTCCTTTGCAAAAGCTGATGGCAAAGCTGCATTCACTTAATGAATGCTAAACCCTAAGCCCAAATTACATCAGATGAAACATATTATGGATTAGCTTGTTAACTCAGTATGTTAACAGACCGTGGCTAGATTCCCCCAAAATACAATAATCCACAGATAAATCAACTATGCAAGTGTATAACAGGGTACCAAATGCAAAAGCACTGGGGCAGGTGGGGAGGGAGAGTGGGAAAAATATTAGGAGAAATAATTGAAATCCATGCACTTTGGCTGGATCCCCTTACTACACTAAAAAGCCACATCTAGTTTTCTGCACCACTATTGATAAAACTGCATTGATTTGATTCTCAGAGCATAGATTGACTTAACTGCTAATTGGTAGTTGGACTTTGTAGGATTCAACAGAAGAATTTAAGTTTGACTGAATATTCTCAAACTTCTTGACCTTGCGCACTATCTAACAAAATGAAATTCATTGTAGAGAAAAGCAAGGTTTACACTTAGGCAAGAATAACCAAATATACATCACAGATAAGGTGAAACTTGGCTCAATAGCAGTGACTGGGAGAGGGATCTTGAAGTCTTAGTAGACAATCATTTACATATGAGCCTGCAGGTGTTGCAACCATCAAAAAAGCCAATGCAATCCTAGGCTGCATTAACAGAGGGATAGAATCAAGATTGCATAAAGTGTTAGTACTGCTTTATAATGCCTTGGTAAAGCCACACTTGTAATACTGCATCCAGTTTGGTCACCACAATATAAAAAAGTTGTTGAGGCTCTGAAAAGAGTGCAGAGAAGAACAATAAAGATGATTAGGGGCCTGGAGGTTAAAACATATGAAGAGCGGTTGCAGGAATTGGGCATGTCTAGTTAGTAAAAAGAAGGACTATGGATGACATGATATCAGTGTTTCAATATTAAAGGGGCTGCCACAAAGAAGAGGGGGGTCAACTTATTCTCTAAAGTACCTGAGGACAGGATAAAAAGTAATGGATAGAAACTAATCAAAGAGAGAAGCAACCTAGAATTAAGGATAATTTTCCTGACAGTTAGAACAATTAATCAGTGAAATGAGTTGCCTCCGGAAGTTGTGGATGCTCCATCACTGGAGGCTTTTAAAAAGAGACAGCCATTTATCTGAAATGGTATAGGGTTTCCTGCTTGAGTAGGGGCTTGACTAGAAGACCTCCAAGGTCCCTTCCAATTATGATGATGTTCCAAATATTAATCCTCATCCTTTGTTAATGCCTTATGCCATATGTATGTATGCATGCTTGTGGGTGTGTATATCATATATGTCAATGCAATCAGCAAAGCCTTGTATTGCCTTGAACCATATCTTTTGTCTTTTGTTGTTGACCCCTTTTGACAGGACTGGAGAGAGCATGTACCATGCCTTAATTTATGCTACCATCCTGGAGATGCAAGCCATGATGACCTTCGAACATGAGGATATTGTCCATGCAGGGCACACCATGAAAGAAGCCCAGGAGATCTGTCAGAGGTGTGTAGTTCACATACACGATTGGAATGGAGCATAGCAAGATTTGTTTCTGAGCCAAGGTCTGGGACTGCTGCAGAGGGGATAACAGGTTGTTCAGTTTTTAAGAAAAGACTGGACAGCCACCTGTCTGAAATGGTATAGGGTCTCCTGCTTGAAGACCATCAAGCTCCCTTCCAACTCTATTCTGATTGAGCTTGTGAATGTTGCTTCTAAATAACCAGTATTTCCCCAAAGTCTGACTTGATTGCCGCATTAGTTGGTGGATATTTAATTCTTTCTTGAACAAGAAATTCTAAATGTGTATTCCCTTCTCAGTTTAAAAATGGGATGAAAAAGTGGGTGCAAAAGGACAAGTGGTTGGAGGATGAATGTAACCTAGAGAAATTGTAGAGAATTGCTTAAACTGCTGCTGGAGCATAATGCTGGATGGCTTCTGGTGGAAAGTAATCTCCTAGGGTGAGGGGTTGGAGAAGGTGGATGAAGAACCTAGTAATTCAACTGCTTTTGGTTCCCCTGATAGATTTCGAAGGAAAACCACTGTGACTGGTACCTTCTCTAGTCGGCAAGGTGGAGATGCTTGTACGGAAGGTGAGAGTGCTGAGAGTCAAGACAATATTTTATTTGTTTTAACGTAGGAAAAGCTGGAGGATAGGAAAGAGTAGATATAAAGTTGCACAAATCCATTCAGGTCTTGCTTGATTCCAGATAAGCAGGATCTAGTGAATGGTGCTCTGTCTTACTGCATTACCTGGGATTCTTGTGTCCTCCAAGGAAATGGATGCTCTTTAGGGTATCTTCTGCCATGTGTGGACTGGATGTTTGTCTTGATTCCTTTAAGTAGCTGATGAGAGAGGGATAGTTTCCTAAATGTGGGAGGATGTCAACATCTAATTGCAAGAAATATATTGTCCACCATCTCTGTAAAAGGCTCTCTCTAGATCTGGTGTTTTAGATAACTTATAATACTCGGGTGTCCAGCTCCTGTTTACAGTGTCACAGAGAATCACATCAGGTGATCTTCCCTGTTGGCTTCCCACAAGCAAAGTCAATGGGCAACTTTGCAGGGAAGTCATCCCAATAAGTCGCTCCTGCTGTTTTTCTCCTGAGAAGCCCATTAGGGAGTTGATTGTGGAATTCTCCTGGGGAACCTCTGTGTGGCACTCCTGGCCCTCTCACCCTTTGCAGTGCTTGTCCACCTGCAGCACCCCCAACCACCCCGTTTTATTTTCTTGCGATCTCTGCCAGCCCACCCAAGGCCTCTTTTGATCTGCCTGCAGCCCTTTTGCTGGCCTTCCTGGATCCCATGCCAACCTGCCTGTGCTCCCTAGCAGGCTGCCCTTGGCAGTCCCCCACCCCCTATGGCACCTGCTTACCTCCCTCATGCTCCCCTGAATTCCTTACTTGGGACTTCTGCCTCTTTCCACTGAATAACCCATATGTGTTACAACACTTAGCAACAAAGTTTCTGGTCCCAATTTATGGCCCCATAAGTGTGGACTACCTGTAATGTGCTCCAGCTGACTAACACACAGGTCGTTGCACTTTGGACAGTTGAAGCTTCTGAGAGCATATTGTGGCAGTAGTTCAAGTAGGACATAACAAAAATGTGAGTCACTATGGCAAGATCCTCTCTGATGCACAATTCCAAGGTGAGCAAAGACCACCCAAACCACAACTTCCGTCTGCTTAGCTGCAATCGCTAAGCGAAAAATCACATGACTGTGCCAGACTCACTTCTGCTTCTGTGGTTAAGCGAATCACCATGGTTGTTAAGCAAGACATTACATCTCAACTATTTATTTATTTATTTATTACATTTATATGCTTCCTATCTCCTCGATTGCAGTAGGATGTAAAAACAATATACTTAATATCCTAAATGCTTTATTATGTCTTTTATTAAGAGATTATGGTGTTTCCTTTTGGGGCTACTCATTTTAGTATGGCTTTCAGGTGAATGTGCATATGTAAAGGATGAATGATAGAGACAATATTAGAAATATTGCACACCCCTCCCTAAATCCACGTTTCCCTGTTACAGAGGAACTGCATGCTGAAGTATGCTATGCAGAATGCTTATTGCACCGGGCAGCCCTCACCTTCCTCCAGGTAAGAAAATTCTTCTTCCTTCAAACTTAATAGGAAATTCTATCCCATTATTACAGTATTTCCCAATTCTGAGAGAAAATTCTACAAGAGGGAGGTGCAAGAAAGATTCTAGAAGGTAGAATCCAAGAAATATATTTCAGCGTTTTTTTTCCTGTATTACAGCTTGTGCATTGAGTTTGTTTATTTATCAGAATTTTAGTTTACTTTTATTATTTTATAAGTAACTCGAGATGTGGAACTTACATAATACTCCTTTCTCCTCTTTTCCCCCACAACAACAAACATGTGAGGTAGGTTGGGCTGAGAGACAGTTATTGGTCCCAAAGTCACCCAGCTGACTTTCATGTCTAAGAAGAACTAAAACTCACAGTTTCTTGGTTTCTAGGCCAGTACCTTCACCATTACACAGACTGGCTCTCTGGAGAGTTTAAAATATCTTTGCTAACTATGGACAAGTGCAGCAAAAGCAGTCCCTCTTTTTTCATAACTGCTGCTCTTTTAATTTTCCAATTTTCCTTGTAGTCCTTGTAATTTCAGTGTTAGGATAGTGCCCCTGTTCACTTGAAGGCTGTGGCTCAGTGATATCCCTGTGTGTATGTCAAAATCAGCAAGATTTTGATATACACACAGCTTGTAGCTATGTACAAGCACTGTATTAGCTTGCTTGGTGGAAAACAGAACCTGAATGCAAAATGCTTGAGAGATACTGTTCTATGAAAGAAATCGGGCAAGGGGATCAGATATAGATAACTGTCTAGAGATTAGTTTTCCCCACTTATTTTGAGATTAATTTCTTTTGTTGAAAACAAGCTGGGGGATAAAGCCTTAACACTTCAGCAGTCATCCTGTTGGTGGCCAGGTGTGATGAACGCCTTTGATGGAGTGCTATGTACCTAGGAGTGGCATTGCCTAGATCAGGGGTGTCAAACTCAATTTCATTGAGGGCCGCATCAGCATTGTGGTTGTCCTCGGGGGGCCAGGGTGGGCACGGCCTACTGGGTGGGCATGGCCAGCTCTACATCGTTTGTGTCAAGGGTGCCTGTGGAGGCCTGGGCAGGAGTGGGACAGATCTGAAGGTCTCTGGCAGAAGGGGGTGGGACCAGGGCAAGTGCTAAGGCATGGTCCACTGGAAGAGCCTGCCGAAACCCCTCCCCCGGAGCCCATCAAGCCGGATATGTGAAGTAGGCGAGGGCCATTTGCTGGCCACTTCCAGGCGATGGTGCATTTCTTCATTCTTCACAAAGGGTGACACCTTCCCAGTGTGCACCCAGGGGGCGAGGCCAATGCGGCAGGGGCCGGTCCTTTGCTGTTTCCAGATGGCCTTGTGGAGCTAAAACTGAATGCATTTCAGCATAGATGGCCACCACAAAATTGTACATTGTCTCCCGACTGGCCTGGGCTAGGGCCAAGGCAGCGGGGGCCGTTCCCTCACTGTTTCCAGGATGGCTTTGCGGGCCACATGAAACCACGTCGCGGGCCGCATCTGGCCCCCAGGCCTTGTGTTTGACATGTCTGGCCTAGATACATCATACCAGAAACTGAGGTTGTTTTATTCATGGAGATTTTTTGCTTCTTACAGGATGAAAACATGGTGAATTTCATAAAAGGAGGAATCAAGGTGCGTAGCAGCTACCTCATCTACAGGTGAGTTGGGAAGGCAGGTCTGGCTAAATAAAGGGGGTTTAGTCACAGTAGGAATGAGAAAGAGCATTAGTGAGGAGTTTGAGAAAAAGAGAAGCCAGCTCCTCGTGCCGCATGTTGGAATGGGAAAGTCTTTGGTCCACTTGTCATAGACAGGCATATTTAGGTAGTGACCGAAGGCACAAGACAGCTCTGTAAGAGGAAGCATTGCAATGTTTAAATTTTACCCTCCATTTAAATTCTGTAGATTGATGAGACATAGGCTGCAGCCACAAAGATGTGTCCCATCCTAAAGCAGAAGTACAATCATGCTTCTATCAATCTTTTGGTGCCTTCACAGTGTACCCTTACAATGCATCCAGAAGGGATCCATGCTCTGCTGCTGTCTATACATGTTAAGGCACAACATTCCAATGGCAAAAATTGGTAGCCCCTCAACTATAATTCCAGCTGCATCCAACATAATCCTTCATATTAAAAGCCTCTTATAATGTACAATACCCTAATTCATTTGTATGTTACACCTGTTTCCTTTTTTCTTTTCCATCAACATCTGATTTGTTTTAAATTATGGATTGACTACACAACCTTTCAACCACTAGGTGGCAAGAAAGAGTTATATTGTTTATGTAGTCATTCTTGGCTTTCCTCTGATGGTTATCTGGAGGAAAGTGACCATGATGCAATCTCTGGATGTTATGTTTTTGAATAGCTGGAGTTTGTGAAAGAGGCGTAGCTCTGGAAATCAATGAGGAAGTTGTAAAGTACTTTAAGAAAATAAGACGAGAAGAAATGAGCCAGAACTCCCTGGGAGCATCAACTGCCAAGGAATTTCTCACATGATAGGCTACAAAAGTACAAGAGTTGAATCCTTTTAATTACATGCCTTAAATCTAGAATGAGTTAAGTCAGTTTCAGTATTTTGCTACCTTTTGATCCTCCAATGCACCATTGGACTATTGAACCACTAGATGGCAGCATTGTTTTTATATCTCTTAGCTGTTGGCTAGCGCATTTACATCAACTGGTCAACTGCACAGTGAACAACAAAGAAACAAGAACAATCAGCAACCCAAAGAACTGAGTTTTTCAGCTGTGTTTTCCATAGTGTTTCTATAATCAGGAACAACTTAGTTAATGTTATGTGCTTGTTCTTGCATGTTGATGGAATAACTGCTTACTCAAGAGGGGAAAAGGCTGTGGGCATTCTTTTATCCAATCCCCATCCTAGCCAAAAGGGGATTGAGGGGCAGATGAAGAGGAACCAGACTAGGGGGGGATGGTTCCATACAAAGTGGGCAGAATCAAGGGGAACCACCGAACTGCTGACATAAAGCATGACACTTTAGTCACAGGCCCACACATTGCTAAATCAATTCATATGTATTTATTTCTAGTTTTTCTTTAGATCTTGCTTTTTTTCTGTTGAATTCGAAATGGTGGCTTTGATTCTCCCTGGGCCATTTTATCCTAATGGTGTCAGGTCAATGAGTCCAAAATTACTCAATGAATTTCATAGAAGAATAGGGATGTGGCTCCTGCAGCACACTAGATGCTACCCGCTGATTTCCAGAGTGAAAAACTATATATAACTTTAAAATTAACATGGCCAGATTTTTAAGCAATCACCTTTGGATATTTTTCCAAATTATTTTTTATTATTTTAATGTCTACTTCCTTCTATAAAATATATAAACTGACTAAAAAGGGTTTTTTTGGACTTTAATGATTCTTTCTAAAATGAACAGAGATGCAGTAATACAAAAAAAAAAAATCTAAGCTACTATCCCTTGCATTATCTTTTGGGTCTATGGCATATATGTATTTTTCAATTTCATGCAAACAGTGCAAAGTAATTAGAATTCATTTATGTAATTGAAAAGCTGGTATACTGGTAGATATCAATTCCATCTTTATTGATCTATATTTGTTTATCTTCCTGACAAGCATTATCCTGTTCTGGATTAGAAGTTGAAATTTGGATATCAGTAGAGTGTCTTAGGGTAGGGCTTTTCAATCTTTTCACCCATTGTACCACTTTTAGGATATGGCAATATCCAAGTACCACCAGTCGCCTAGCAAGGTGTCAAAAACTTGATGACCCCCCCCAAAAAGGAAAAAAATGATAAAGTACAGGTAGTCCTCGACTTACAACAGTTCGATTAGTGACTGTTCGAAGTTACAATGGCACTGAAAAAAGTGCCCCCCAAGGCACAGCCGAGCAAGACACCTGCCTGCCCGCCCGGCGGCGCTCTTCCTCCTGTCCGAGGTTTCATTGTTGTGAGCATTTCTGTTGAGGATTGGCAGTGGGGGTGGGGTGGGGGGGTGTTTGGTTTTTATTCCTCCCGTCTGCTGGGTGGTTGCAGCAGGTTTTGGTCACTTCACATGACCTTGGGACATTGTGACCATCTTAAATATGAATCAGTTGCCAAGCATCTGAATGTAAATCACAAGACCCTGGAGAGGCTGCAACATTCCAGCTGATTGGTGCTTCTTCAGGGCTCAGCAGAAGCGTCAGAATCAGCACCGAGCTCCAGCTGGAGCCTGGTGCTGATCCTGGCACTTCCGCTGAGCCCTGACAGCCCCGAAGAAGCGCCAATCAACTGGAAAGCGGCACTGATCCTGGTGCTTCCGCTGAGCTCTGGCAGCCCTGCAGCTCCAGCCATCTCTCGCTCAGGCTTGTGCAGTGCTGCCAGCAGTTCAGTTCATTCCCCTCCCCTGCTACTTTTCTAGGATGGTCGCGTACCACCTGCCAGGTGCCAATGTACCACAGGTGGTACCCGTACCACTGGTTGAAAAGCCCTGTCTTAGGGTATGAATTGAATTCTCTGTGTGACCAAAACCCAGGTTTAGAGTGAAAAAGGTCCATGAAATAGAATTCTTGGGTTTTGCTTTTTAGTTTCAGGCAGATAAGTTGGCAATGGAATAATCTTTTTTTATTTTCACAGAGACCTGAACGCTTTCATCCAACCTAGTTCCTTGCCTACAAACTCTGTTCGTATCCATCTGGAGGGGGGGATTGCTCTTGGCACTGGTGCCTTCAATTTGGTGAGTTGAGTATGCTTCCACAGCTTCTTAAGGGGCATAGAAAGTGATGTTTATAACAGAAACTGAACTCCAAGAGACAATCCATTAATTTCTTTAGTTTTCACTTGGGCATTATGAGGCTGTTCTATAGTTGCAAATGTACAGGTTGAGAAAGATATGGGGAGAGAACAACACTTATTGTGGTTATTATAATATATTGCCAGCTAAAACTGTTTGCAAACTTTGAAGATCAGCACCCTTATTTCCCCTTTCTTCATTCCTGTGTCTGGGATAATTGGTTCTAATTTCTTTTTCACAGAAGGTCTTTATCTGTGCTATCATATATCAGAGAGCCTTAGCCAACAGGGCTGGCAGGAAGAAAACCTCAAAGGACTGAAAAAATTCTCCTATGAGTAAAGGTTACATTTCATGGGGTATCTTAACTGAAAAAAAGTAGGATGTGATAGAAGTTCATAAAATTATGCATTGTATGAAAATGTTAGGCATCATCAGGCTCTCTATAAGAATGACAATAGTTCTTGAGTTGACATTGGTGGACTATGCTCTTGAGCTCAGTACATATGATGTACTGAAGAATCTTTACAGTATTGCATACTATAATGTACAGTAGCCATTTACTACAGTTGATTGGGTTGCCTGTTTTTAACCTTTCTTATTGTAGTTTAATTCCTGCACTTTTTAATTCTTTTCCCATGATTCAATAAACTTTTTGCCTTGTGCTTTTTAGTTTTGAAAGTGTATAGCTCTTAGTTGTTGATATACCTAAAAGGATTTCTGGAATGATGGAAAATTGCATTTGGTGGATCTACATTGGCCAAAATCCCACTCCATTGAGGCTCTTGCCAATCCAAATCTCAGATCTTTTGTCATGGCTTAGGTACACTGATCATATGCTAAATTCATTCCTTGTTTTCTGTCTGTTTTAAAATTTGGGATGTGATATCAGAAATGAGTGGTGAAAAGGTATTAGAAATACTCCTTTTTCTACAAGCATAATATCTATGCTGACCATGGTCACTTCCAAAATTTTGATATGATGGATTTGTATGGAGGGAGAGCAGCTAGCCTACCAATACAGAAAACCAAGGCCTTTAGATTGATTGACCAAGAATAGTGTGGCTCACAAATTATTTAGTTGGTCACTAAATAACACATATTATGTGAAGAGAAAATTGTGCCCAACAAGGAACTATTCCAAGAATGGGGAAGAGGAATCCATAAGCAAGGGGAGAAGGGGGCATATGATATTACGTGTATGCATGATTTGTACAATGACATCATGATGCACATGATATGATGCTGACTTGCACTGGACACACCCCTGTGCCTATAGGCAAAGAGAACAGAAAGAGGAAGTTGAAAGAAGGGTAATTAGAGAAATAATGCTGTAAGACATGAGAAGCAGAAGTAGGGTCTGAGACAACATTGAAATGGTGTCATGATAGTGCTGGTATAGCAAACTCATAGTAGTTGGGATCAGGAAAAGGTTGATTTTAGAAGGGGAAGAGGGGTGTATGGAGCAGCTAAAAAGCAGTGACTGCCTGTAAAAACAGGAAACAACAAGCAGTAGAGAAATAGAGTTGAAGAGGATTCGGAGAGAATATAGGTTGAGGCAAAATGACTAGAAACTACATTAAAGAAGAGAATGAGAGAAAGGGGATCAAGAGAGTACGGGATAGTTACATTTGAAGTCCACCTTGTAGCTTCTGATGTCACCATAACATTTATTTGGGTAATAAAGTCTAAAATGCAGGATAAATGGTGAATATTAACAAAATAACAGAATAACAGAGTTGGAAGCAACCTTGGAAGTCTTCGTCCAGCTCCCTGTTCAAACAGTAGAGCCTGCATCATTTTAGACAAATGGCAGTCCAATCTTTTCTTAAAAACTTCCAGCGATGGAGCTCCCACAGCTTATAGTGGCAAGCTATTCCACTGATTAATTGTTCTCACTGTCAGGAAATTTCTCCTTAGTTCTAGGATGGGTCTTTCCTTGATTAGTGTCCATCTGTTACTTTTTGTCCTGCCTTCAGGTGTTTTGGAGAATAGGTTGACCCCCCTCTTCTTTGTGGCAATAAGGAATTATAGGGAATGGAGTTCATATATTCATTCAAATAAGCCATTTAATCAGTTACATAATTGGCAGCTAGGCCTGGGCAACTTTGTTACTAGTCTCTTATTAGCTGAATTGCATAAAATTTAACATTTTTATAGTATTTTGCAGTAAATTCTTTTGATGAACTCTGACATTTAATTTCACTAGCTTGTCCAACAACTTGATCTTATATGACCAGCCTAAGCTGGTTTACAGGGTTTATGATAATAGGAATGTGATTTCTCAAGGATATGCTAGCAAATGCAATGTCTACGCTGGCCTGGGCATGTCGTGAGAATGGCTGATGGTTGAATTCCGAAAGATCTCCTGTATGGAGAACTAGTGCAGGGAAAGCGCCCCAGAGGGAGACCTGAGCTGTGATATAAGGATATCTGCAAGAGGGACCTAAAGGCCTTGGCAATGGACATTAACAGCTGGGAATCCTTGACCTCTGATCGTTCAGCCTGGAGGCTAAAGATGCAGCATGGCCTTCTCCAATTCAAAGAGACACTTGTGCGGCAGGCTGAGGCAAAGAGGCAGTCCCGGAATCAGCGAAATCTGGGGGCTGGACAGGGGACAGATTGTATCTGCCCTCAGTGTGGAAGGGACTGCCATTCTCGAATTGGCCTTTTTAGTCACACCAGATGCTACCTTAGGACCTCTTTCCAGAGCACGATACCATAGTCTCTCGAGATTGAAGGATGCCAAAGATGCTAGCAAATATTTATTATTATATTTTTATCTAATAGTTTATTTTAGCATAAGCTGCCCTTCATTTCTGAAGGGTTGTCACTGTTAATGATGAAACATAAAATCAAAACTTTATGCTCCATTCATATTCTTATTATTCATGCCATTCTTGCTGTTCCTATTTTCAGTTCATCTGTGTCCAATAGTAAGCATTCAGAGAACAATTCTCAGTCCTTTTCCTTTACGGTTTAAAATGACAACAGACCACAATTAGGGCAATTCGATTAGAAAAGTGCCTTTGATGTCCTTTTCTCTTTGTCATACAACCAGCTTCTAAAGTTTAGATAATCTTTTAGCACAGTGGTTCTCAACCTGTGGGTCGGGACCCCATTTGGGGTCGATCGACCATTTCACGGGGGTCGCCAAGCAAGGCTGTCCGCCATTTTTTCCCCTTTTCCGGCGGGTGCCTTACCTCCCTTGGGCTGGGCCAGCTGGTGGTTGGCCTGCTTTGTCTCTGCCGCTTGCCAGCTACGCCTCGGCCGGCGCAGGGGGCGGAACTACGCATGCGCGGCGCTCCCGGGCAGGGAAAGTCCTTGACTTACGACCGGTTGGGTAGTCCTCGACTTACGACCGGTTTAGTCCTCGACTTACGACTGGTTTAGTGCTCGACTTACAACCGGTTTAGTCCTCGACTTACGACCGGTTGGGGTCGCGGCATTAAAAAGGTTGAGAACCACTGCTTTAGCAAAAACTCTCTGTTTTAGCTATCTAGATGAGGCAGAGTACCTTAAGGGTTCACACACACAAGCTGCTTACCATGGTGTGAAGATGTTCCTCTCCCTCCTTATTTGCTGAAGGCATATCCTTACAACAGAACCCTTTCTGAAGCTGGTTCAAGGTGTTTGGCATGAAATTGGTGTTTTCCCATCTGTTGCAATAGAAGGCAAGGTGACATTCTAGCTTGCATAAAGAAGAGATGTCAGAGGTTGCATGAAGGAGGGATTACATCCCAGAGTTCTGAAGGAGCTGGCAGATGTTATCTCAGAACCATTGTACCATATCTTAAATTAAAAGATGCAAAAATAAGGTAAGAGAACATCTGTCAGCTCTAGATGGATTCAAATCACCGGGTACTGACAGACTACATCCCAGAATTCTGAAGAATTGGCAGATGTGATTTCAGCACCATTGAAACATATCTTTCAAAGTTCTTGGAGCATTGGAGAATTACCTGAAGACTGGAAAAGAACTGATGTGGTTCCCATCTGCAAAAAAGGAAAAAACAAACAAACCCAGGAAACTATAGACCAATCAGCGTAACATCAATACCTGGGAAGAAAGTGGAAAATAATAATAATAAAAAAACAGATCTAGAAACAAATACTGTAAAGTTATAACTAGTAGCCAGCATGGGTTTGTTAAAAATAGATCATGCCAAACCAATGTTATTTTATTCTTTGACAAAGTGACTAAATTAATAGACCAGTGATGGTCTATGGGTCTCCATAGCCATGCTGTGGTTTTCAGAAAGACTGACAAACCATACTCAGTGAGTAATCTTTAATGGTACTACATCTACATGGAGGGATGTAAGCAGTGGGGTACCACAAGGCTCCGTCTTAGGTCCAGTACTCTTCAATATCTTCATAAATGACTTAGATAAGGGGATAGAAGGGGAACTCATCAAATTTGCAGATGACACTAAGCTGACAAGAATAGCCAACACCACAGAATACAAGCTCAGGATCCAAAAAAATCTTGACAGATTTGAACAATGGGCCCTATCCAACAACATGAAATTTAATGAGGAGAAAAGCAAGGTTTTACACCCAGGTAGGATAAACCAAAGGTACAAGTACAGATTAGGTGAAAACTGGCTCAAAAATAGTAACTGTGAGAGGGACCTTGGTGTCTTAGTGGACAATCACTTAAACATGAGCCAGCAGTGTGCAGCAGCAGCCAAAAAAGCTAATACAATCCTTGTTTGTATAAACAGAGGCACAAAATCAAAATCATGTGAAGCATTAGTACCATTTTATAAATCCTTATTAAGACCAAACCTGGAATACTGCATCCAATTTTGATCACCACATTACAGAAAAGATATTGAGACTTTGGAAAAAGTACAAAGAAGAGCAACTAAGATGATTAAGGGCCTGGATACAAAAACATATGAAGAACGGTTGCAGGAATAGGGTATGGCCAGTCTAGAGAA